ACCAAAGTTTGTAAGATGTGTGGTATCTGACCACATCATAAGGGAGGCAACAATATGTTCAAGGTTGTTGTCAGCTTCCCTACTGGTAAGATTCTGAGAAAGTGGGGGATGAGTATGCCTCAGAATACACATTGACAGTGCGTTCCTCTGACACCTTTCATTGCTGTTGGAAGGGTGTCATATGAAAGGTGGTGGCAACACTATTCTGAGAGACCGACATGATGACATCAGTGAGTGAGCAGTGGTAAACACCTGGTATCTTGAGCACAGGTGCATCATCTTCTGATCCCCACTTCATCTTCTATTTCGGTAGGCGGATTTGGACCATAGACTTGTGCCAGCCATTTTCAGTGCAGAAGGGGTTATATGAATCCTTGAGATAGGCACTGATGAGCCACTTCTCATGTATGTCATCATAAATCTATACATCCTCTCTCTTGTACTCATTATCGTCAAGGAAGTTTCTTGTGAGTCGTTTCATCTTTGCATTTGACTTGGAAAACTCTAGAGTACTGCCAGTACATGAGGAGCCCCACTGTCAGGCTACTGAAGGCAGAGAAAAGTTTGTTAGGCCCAATCTCTGAAGAAGGAAGTCCAGTAGTAATATGAGAACTTCCGACACTAGGATCACAATCCAGGGTAGGAGCATCAACTGCTGCATCAAGACCGACATCTCCCTTTGGTATCAGGGTAGGACATGCAGAGTAGATACAGAAAAGATCCATCACATTGGGGGCTGTTTGGTATGGAACAAGGGAGGGCTGATGAGGGATGACTTCAGAGGCAGGACTATCTGGTGCCTATGCTTGTTCAGGCTAGACATAGCTGGTAGGTTGTTTTGAGGGTCATCCACGCTCCTGACAATTGGCTAGGGGCATGTGAGCAAGGTGAGTTGCTGAGCCTGGGATATAGTCAATATACTGTGCAGGCATCAATATTTGCTGCCCAGAATGGGCAGAGACAACAGCAGGTGCATCTGGGGTAGGAGCTGGAGGTTCCAGTTCTGTAATATATCCCGAGGGTCCAGCAACATCACTATACTATACAATTATCATATCAGCATAATATAACTTGAGTAGATCAAAAAAAAATCACCTCGGCATTGACATGGTCATCACCCAGGTCCATATATACATCAGCTTCAGGAGAGGTATTCCTTTCCCTGTGTTCCAGAGACCTAGTCTCATCTCAAGTTCTCTTCTTCCAGCACTTTTTATATCCCTTGTCGAGGCAATGTTGACTCTTGTAGACATTAGCATTGAGGAGCTTGTCAGCTTCACACCGAGCCTCATGACCGCTCAAGCGCTTTTGGGATGTGAACACCTTCCTGCACCCTAAACAGATGAAGTCTTCCATATAGATAGGTAAACCGCAGATACATTCTACTGGACTCGAATGTCTATTCATAGGTTCTGAATTAGTTTACTTCATTCCAGATTCATGTAGAGTGGGGAATACTATACCATCCTTAGTGGATTATCACCAACTCTGGTAGATAAGCTCCAGATGCATGTGGTGATCCACCATAATGCAAGGCATTTCACAGGTGACACTGCAATAACATTTGTTTAGAAATTCAAACATCTGATATTATACAGCGTGTTGGAGTGGGGCACCCCCTAGTCAGGGGGTTGCAGAGGCAGGGGTTTTCCAGAGGTTCAAGTAGCTTAGTCAGTTCAGGTGTGTCAGTTAGGGCATGGCAGTGGACAGTGACTCTATCCATTCGAGTGCTGAGCATATTCATCTAGGTTGGAGCTGCTGCTCCATTGTGGTGAGAGAGTGGGATTTGGTCTTCGCATTAGCGTATATCTGCTTCCATATCAGAATTCTCAGACTTCATTAAACTGGTTCAAAAAACAATGATTGGTCAATACAATGTTACAGAACCAAAAATGTCAATGACCAAACATCAATGAACACGTGTAGAACACATTCTGACACTATTGTCTTGGAAAGGATGATAAGAAAAAACAACAAAAATGCCCCCAAAAGCAATTGAGAGACCCAAAAGGACAATTTATCTCAAAAAAAGCCTAACTAGCCTTTCTGACATCTCTTCCACAAACACATCAACTGAATCTTCCCTACTAGACACACCAGAACTCAGAATCAACAAGATAGAAGAACATATTCTAGACCAGGAGAATTCAGAGTACGAGTTCCAACGAAGTTCGCCAGCAACTAGAACAGACTGATGAAGAAGATCAAGAGTCATTAGTAGGAGTACCAAGACCAGATGATAGCATACTTCCCACCTTCAATGATCAACCATCACAAATGCTCATCGCAGTCATATAATTGCAGAACCCAATCGTATCGTGGCCAGTCCTGCCCATGACACCAAGTAAGACCTTCCTAAAACCCATTGCGGCCAAAGCAACCTCACAACTACCAGCCAAACCATCACCAAAGACAAGGAAGATGCCAGGAACAACACCCCAGGTTGGTTCCATGGCAAAGCCAATGAAAATGTGCAGAACTTCCTGCGTGAAGTTGATCGGTACATCATGCTTAACAAGCTAAAAACTGAACAAGGGAAGATCACAGTGTTCAGTACTCTCTTATTGTCAGGATCAATCTCAGACACCTGGTGGAACAAGTTAGACAGTGCGCACAAGAACACATGGATGGATGTAAGAACAGCTCGTATGAAACCACATTAACGACATAACCCATCATCCAGACACCACAGCAGGACAAGCAGCATATGACAACCAACTCAAGCAATGGTTGGCAACAAATGGGCAAACAAGACGAGTCACCGAGAATACCCAATTCCCACTTCGTCCAGGCAATGCTATGATATGCTCAGGGGAGTGTTTCAAATGCAGCGCACATGGACACATGTCAGTGGACTGCCGAGTCCCAGAAGCATCGCAGCTACCATTCCAGGAGAAAATCTGGCGTAGCTTAGCAGCAAGAGCCCTAGGGAACTTTAACCGGATGAATGCCACACAGATCAATGTAGTGTTTGAAGAAGAATATGTGCAGTGGGACCAGGGAAAAGGATCAGGGTCGTCAGTGTAGAGGGACACCAGACGACCCGCATAGATAAAGTACCTCAGCTGCTGGAACCACCAGTCCTCGTATGTGAAGAGGCAACATATGAGGACTATCATCAAGGCCCCGTCGAAACAATCATAGACAGAGAACCATGCAGTGTATCAGCATTAGATGATCAATGTAATGTCAGTGACTTGTATTCAACGGCAGAAGAAAAAGACAACAAGCAATGGTACCTACCATTCCTGCAGTATACTTCGTTCCTAGGTCCACAAGGCAAAGTTGTCAGAGTCAAAGCATTATTCAATGAAGGAGCAATGATGAGCATTATGTGCTCATCGGTGTTCAACAATGTCAAGCATAGACTATGGAATTGGACTCCATCAACAAAGCGTCTTTGTATGGTGAACGGAGCAATAGTTCAATTGGAAGCTATGTGGAAGGGAGAAGTGGTCATAGGAGGAGTATGAATGCACGGAGAATTTGAAGTATTGCAGAGCGGAGGAGGCTGGAAGTTTCTATTTGGGAAACCGCTACTCCAGGCATTCAAAGCAGTCCACAATTATGAGGTTGATGAAGTTCAAGTCACAGGTACCAGGACACTGTACAACCAGATGCAAGTAATAAAAGCAAGCATCACAGAGGTTGAGAACGATGAAGAAACTCAGGTTCGCAGAATAACAAAGGACACTCCTATTTGCATAATGATCAATGAAGAACCCACCCAGTCGAATGAACCTGATAATCTCCTGAAGGAAGTCCCCACAGATTTCTTAGCAAATGACAAGGCAATATTCATGCGACTCACGAACCCACATAACCCACTGCGTATGTCATGGATTGCAAAATGAGTCCAATATGGGCAGGATCTCACACTGGAAGAACTAGAACAGGTGAAGGCGCTCGTCACGGAGTATGCGGACATCTTCACATGTTCATTAGGAGAAGTATTACTAGTGCCCGGAGCAGTACATCTTTTGAACATACCTGATGGAACAACATTCAATCTCCGAGTACACCAATGGCCACTCACTCCCCCACAGACACAGTTCCTACATGGCAAGATTGACAAAATGCTCGAAGTGGATATCATAGAATACACACCCCCAAAGGCAGTCAAATGCTGTGCAAACATGATACTGGCAAAGAAAGTGTATGAACAAGAAGGGATGATATTAGAAGAGTTGCAGTACACAGTCAACGAACAATGCTCACAAAATGGCCAGCCACCAGCCTTCATGTTACCAGAATGCGAAGTCCCAGAAGAACCAGCAAGGGAGAGCAGCACTCTGAAACCGCAAAAATGGAGAATTTGTCAAAACTTCAATGAAGTCAACTGAGTCATGATGATCGCACCAATGCCCCAAGGAGATATCAGAGCCAAGCAGCTAAGGCTCAGTGGACACAGGTACATATCAGTCTTTGACTTCGCATCCGGCTTCTATGCAGTTGAAGTTCCAGAGGAGTCAAGACCATACATGATGTTTTGCATCCAAGGAAGAGGATATTTTTGGTATAAGAGAATGCCCATGGGTCTGACAGGTGCTCCGTCAACATTTTTTGAAATGACAGCTAACAACCTACATGACATACTAGCAGATAGTACCATGGAACTATTCGTTGATGACGGAGGATGTGCAGCAAACACTTTTCGGAAAATGATGGACAAACTCAAACAAATCTTCCAAAGGTGTTGTGAACACAGTATCTCACTTTCACCAACAAAGTGCCACTTATTCATGACAGAGACAATATTTGCTGGAGCCACAGTAGGCCCTGAAGGAGTACAACCAGACTTAGCCAAACTTACTGTGGTAGTCAATTTGGAGCAACCACCAGATGCACTCAACCTGGAGTCATTCTTAGGACTAACCAGCTATTTTAGGGACCTAATCCAAAGCTATTCATTGCAGGACAGTGTGTTAGAAGTGCTTGGGGTCTTAGTGAGAGAGGAACACTGTGCATGAGCATCATGTCGAGAGTGCTTGGGGTTCTCCAGTCGTGCAAAGTTTCACTTGGGGTGAGTGCAAGGGCATCAGCCTTTGCAGGATGCCTTGTGAGCATCCTGATGCACCAAGCACCCATTGACCCCCGCATGAGGCCTCGATGCAGACTGAGGGAGATACTGAGACCCAAGGGCGGGTGAGATCATGCACATAATTCAAAGACAACCTATAATAAAAGATACAATTAGCATAAAACAAATTTTGAGCCTTCCCAGGGTCCCCTTGGTGCTCAGGACCAAGCCTCACAAGTTAACAGCACACGTTCATGGGTCAGCACCTGAGCAGCTGACAGTGTCCACATAGTGTGGAGCTGTGCGTAATGCATGTATCAGTGGCAGGTGTCAGACGCCCAGTGGTACTAACTGGAGAAGCAAGAAGAACAAGTTTGAAATTCTGGTTTGAACATCACATGATCTTTCAAAGTCAGCCAGCAAATACCAGTAATGCAAAGAGACGCAATTACGTGTTTTTCATAGTCATTTTTATCTGATACTAATTGTTTTTATAATTGTATACTACTATGTCAACCTCTATCCTTGTTAATAGTACCGACCAGGTCATTATCCATGACAATGTCATTGTCATGGATATTGAGAACCTCCTAACTGGCTGGCCAACTTACAAGATTAAGTTTATGCTGTAAAGAGTAAATCTCCACTGGGCTCAGCAGAAATTGTACTACCTAGTCAACAATTATTTAGATAGATCTTAGCACAACCTATGCTGCTGTACTTGCAGAGCAAGTGTGTTTGATCCTAAAAGGGATTGCTAATTGGTATTAGTAGTAAAATGTGTCAGTAATGCAAATAACAAAATGTCTGAAGCTGCAAAATGATGTCCGAAGGTAATCTGATGATGTCTGAGGGTACTTATCCAATGTCCAAAGCCAAAGTGCGATGTCCGAGATTTCGGACTTTCAGACTTCACAATAATAGGTCGGAAACTTTATAACGAGTGTTGGATTGTGAGCGGTATGCGCTAGTATAACAAGTAACAGAGTATGACGGTGAACGAATGGTAATATTTTGCAATGCAACTAAGAACTATGAGAATATTCTGGGTGATCCACAGAGTCGGGAAACGGCTCCTAACTACTGGATGATAATTGCTACAGGTCACTACAGAGTATTTAAGTAAGTACATAGAAATCTGAAATACTATAGGCGAAGATAGTAGCAATATATTTCGGGTCCTATGTCCTATGTAATAAGACACAAGGTGCTGCAGACATGTAATAATGTGGTCCCAATGTCAGAAAATGTGCACGGGAATAACTATGCACCTAGTGAGGCTAGTTTGGAAGGACAGGACACAGGATGGACAAGTGCACATGAAGTGCGATCAGCCGATGCAATGTCCAAAAGTCCAATGCAGAGTGGCTCAGACATGTGCGCGTATGTTTCAGGTGTTGACGTGAATATGAAAACCCATGGTTCCGAGCCCAGTGCCGTGACCATCATTACAACGCCCAAGAACCCAGGCCCATTGGTGAGTGATCTCAATCTTTTTATATTACTTACTGACTTGGATTTAAAAACTTATCATCTGGCTCAAGGATCCTGTCAAAATGGTCATCATTGAGGAATCTACCGATAGCGAGGCAGAGTTGCTGATTTCAGGCAATCACAAAAGGAAAAGGTGAGTTTCTCTTGATTCCGATCCTCTCACAAATAGATTTCCAACTTTATGTACAGAACCTTACCGACTGCTTGCAAGAGCAAGAAGAGTTTCTCAGCCAATACCATCAAGATCGCAGATGATCTTGCAGGCCTCAAGATCACTTCTGGATAAGCTTTTCTAATATTTACTTGATCATCACACTGACAAATTTTGATTTACAGTAATAACACTGTCAAGGCAAGACCTGTGCGCTTAGTGGGAGCCCACAAAAATCCTCCACCACCCAAACCCATATTTGACAGCAGCAACTGTTGGCCACCATGCCACCATCACCACTGTTTCAGGGATGTGGAAGATAAGGATTCCATTGAAATTTTTGAGCATTTGCAAGCTCTGCCTGCTGCTGTTGCTGCAGACTTAACTTAGATTACATTTTTCTGTGCCATTCCTTTTGCTCTCACATTGCTCTCTTATCTTGCACTCTGTATACTTTATAATTGTAGAATTAATTGTATTTCTTGTCGCGCCTGATAACATGTTAACAGAACCAAATAGAACATGATAACACGTGAATGCCCTACACTACCTCTCAACTCTGACTACTAAACTACTATGGCACATTGCAGGCGATCTCAAAGTCTTTCTGAATCCGAAAAATCAGAATTCTCTTCAAGTGATTCAGAAGATTCACAACACTCTCCAAGTCCAACACACAAGAATTCGAAAAAATGCACTCAGTCAGGTAGATCTGTTCAAGGAAAAACAAAGTACATTATATGTTGTATTCTTTTGATGCTTACATTACTTCTAATATTACAGGAAATTGAAGGTAACTAAGGACATCAACAACAATATAGATGAAGAGTATTTCACTGCTGCGTGTGCCATGGCACACTGCTATGACCTGTTTTGCAAGGTCGAGAAGCTCATCAAGATTGGGTGTCTTTGCAGCAAGACAAGGCTACTGATAGGGGAGATTTAGAGGAAGATGAGGCCAACAAGATGTCTTGCAAAAAGAGGCTTGAGGGCCTGTAAGTTTGTTTTATTGCTAGGCTGTATATCACTAATCTACTGTTTTAGTTCTACTTATGTACGTGATCGTTACAAACACGACTATCAGCAGCTCTTTCAACTCACTCCCGGCTTGCGAGCACTCATCAATGACAAGAGCAAGTCAAAGCAACTTGCTAGAATTGCACAAAATGTCAGTTTATACTGCATATATGTGCACTTATGATTTACTAACACATCATAAAGATGAACAGTATTATCAGTGCGACACGGTCTGATGACTCAACCCATCTGAAGTCTTAAATTGGTCACTATGTGGCTCCCTCGTCGGCCAAGGAACCTTTGAACCCACCTGTCAATAATGGTACCTCATCTAGGTCGCACATGGGTGTTAATCACCCCATTTTGGCTTCATTTCTGTGTCCCATAATGGCAATCAAAGAATACTACAAGGATCCTGCAGAGTAAGTGGTGTTTTGTGCTTGTCTTCTATACTGAGGTTCTGTATTCTAGAATGCAAAAAAAATTGGCAAGCGGACAGATCTTGATGTCCACAACTGATTTCCCTGCATATCTCTGGGAGGGAACTCCACTGGGGGAAAGGTACAATGACAATTCAATGACTGATGGACTTTTTAAAGGGTATTTTCTCATCTGCGTGAGTTTTCAACCATATACTTAATGTATCAATATCATACACTCACTGTATATATCAGATTATGTGTCATATATTCACAGGACCATCTACTGCCTTAGGTGAAGACTCACGTGCAACATGTTCCTGCAATGCTTCATTGCATGACATGACCATGGTCCATCATACATCCCCATGGAAGAAAGGCACTCCACCCATTGTGCTCATTCTCTGACTCCACCTTGTCATATGTCTCTGTGAAAGAAAGGCCCTGCTCTCCCCTTTTCACCTGGACTAAGTGATTTGACACAGGAGGATGAAATTGAGGAACTCGAAGTCAGCACCAGTAAGAAAGGGAAGTCAGCTGGGAAGAAAGCCAAGGTCACAGCCAAGGCTGCGGGGAAAAGGAAACATGTTGTGGAATCAGATAATGAGCAGTCATCTGAACATGCTAGACATCCCAAACAGCAAACAAGCCAGAAATAGATGTTTTCTTCCAAGGTATGTCTCTGTTATATTATAGACTGTGACTGACATTGATTTCTGCTTTGATTGACAGTATTCTGGTGTTCTCAACTCACATTGCTGTCATTTTTTCTCACCTCCATGCTTTCATTTTTGTACTCTCTTGTCCTGGTCCCTCACAACACATTGCTCTCTACCTACTGATGAAGTTGACCATTTGTACTCATGCTTCCCAGCTGTCTAGTGTACTTTACAGATACCTACATGTATCTGGATACCTATAATTCAAGTTTCCCTATATTCTGTCGCATAGCAATACTTTGTACTCTCATTACTGCATACAATACTATGCAATGTCTTCTCTATCTGGTTGACTGTTGATGTCCGACAATGTCTGAAATAACTATATGAAACACTAAGTGGCATCCTCATCTATGACACACAAGCACTCATCCATCGGATTTTTCAGTTCCCTAGTATTGCAAGATATACTGGGCCCTGGACCCGACACTGCTGACATTGTAGGCACTGAAAACATAACCATATATTGCCATGTCTTGGTCATGCAATTTTTGTGATGTATGGGCCAGCCTAGCTTGTTTTTTCGAAAGCAGAGGATAACTTTGAAGGCAAACATATAGTATGATACCAATTGTCATGTCATCCGAGTCTTCATGATGGCTACTAGCAAGCCACATCAGATGTTGAGAAGGCAGATACTGTCACAAATTTCCTAGAGTTGGCATTGCAATGACTCAGAGCAATGGTCACAGTCACTGAGGATGCACATCAGGGTTATCAATATTTAGGAGATGTTTCTATGTTGTAGCAAATGTGAAGAAAATATTTGAAATTTAAACTGACATAAAGATGGAGACATAACTTCAAACTTTTGTAATGTTTTGGATGACATACAAAATTTCAAGCATTGGCAACCATATTCCCACCGACTATATGTCAATAATAATAAGCAATTTAATCTAATTTTCTGCGTGTGCTCAAATTTTAATTTTAATTCAGACTTTAAACGGCAGACAAAACATGAAATTTGGGACATGACCATATGACTGCTTATTTAGGAAGTTTTGTCTGACAATTAAGACACCCTGAAAATTTGAAGTTTACACCGGTGTAGTGCTGCTGCAGTTTGGTTCTGAACCTCGGTTCGAACCTGAACCTTTCCGAACTGGACTCAAGGTCCGGTCACAGGTCCGGCATGGCCCCTGGACCGAACCTTAAGTCCAGTTCGGGGTTCGGAGCTAACCAGAACCAGTTCGGACGTGTTCGAACCCCACCAAAACCACCATCTGTCAGCACCTACACTACCTCAATTTTGCTGCTGCTGTTGCAAGTCCCCGACTCCTATTGGCTCATAGTTTTGTCTCAAGGTACGTTGCACATGTAGACTCGACTCTGGATGGGGGACTGACATGTTCTCAGAGTTTGCTGTGCAGGAAGCTCGTCGTAGTGTTTTTGGCTTTCTTTCCTAATACCGACAATGCACCTATAGAAACGGTATTATTATCCAAAACAAAAGAACAAAGGACCGTACATACTGATGATCCTCCTGCCATGCCCCTGCTTGATCATACTTTGCACTGCAGCACGCAAGCAGAGAAACGTCCCACGCACATTGGTGTTGAAGACCTCATCAAAATCGACGAGGGTAGCTATTGGGATACGATGACATCATGGAAACAGACCAAATATATGATTGGCTTACAGTCAACCACAGGCTTAACAACGATTTGTCCGGCATTCACTACCATCTAGAATACCATCCGTCAGACAGTTTGGTAGGTGGACAGCCCACGAGACACGTACAACGTCCAAACTGTTGAACTCTTGCTCTGTAGCCTGCACCATGCGCTGGACCTCCTCCTCTTGTGAAATATCACACTCCAAAACGAGACACCGCCTCCCTTTTGCCCTTACCTCATCTGCAATGCCGTCAAGATTCATGCACTGTGATTTCAAGTCAGCGATGGCAATGTCCAGTCCGTCCTCTGCGAGCTGCAGTGTAATAGCGCATCCAATGCCCTGGGCTGCGCCAGTGATTGTTACAACTTGGATGGTATCTGTTGGCGACGCTCAAACAGAGCGTGTGTTGTCAATGGTCGAGGACGTCCTTGGGCTAGCCCAAGGTTAGGGGTCTTACTTGGCGAGTTTCGGCAAGTAAGATTTGACGCCTATGTCCAAATCGGGTAGCTTATGTCAAGCGGGTGCGAGACGATAAGCTATATCGGCCTGGGCTTATGACACCCGAAGGTTAATCGTAAGATCATCGTTAATTAGAAGGACAGAAGTCCGACTAGTTAACAGGGGCTTTGCTTGTCGACGAAGTCGATGAGCAAAGATCGAGACTATAGGCTTATCCGCGAAGAGCAGATAAGAAGATAGAATATAGACTGCTGGCTAGGCAGAAAGGATCACTCTGGTGAGAGTAGGAAGTCAAGAACCAAGTAGATTCAAGTTAGGGAATATAGTACATGGTAGCGAGTTTATATAGAGGACAGGAGACGTATTAGTGGGTGATAACTCGTACTACCGGGAGAGGCAATCGGTAAAGGGTATAACCATAACAGGACGGCACGTTCGATCGAGGTAGAACGTGCTAGATAAGAAAGTGAGTCAAAGGTCGAAATAAGAAGTGAAACACGCAGGGGCACGATCGTGCAGCTGCGGATCTAAGTATAAGTCGCATGTGCGACTGCGCACCGAGTCAGAGATCAAGAAAGGGAAAAGGGCAAAGGGGATGCGTCGTGCATCAGATCATAGGTTACCGTCTGGACGGTTAAGGGCAAAGGGACTGTCCACAGGATCAGTCAGGTGGTGGAACGGAGCATGGGTATGCTTCGTCAGCGAAAGGATCCGGCCAGATGTACTGGCTCTGCTGGAGCGACAAGTAGAGGGCAAAAGGGAATGCGAGAATGACAAGGATGACCAGGGTAAGGTCGGGGTAAGGGTATGATGCAAGGGCTGATACGAGGAGGATCAGGAGAAAAATGGTAGGGGCCCAAGCGTCTAGATGTTCTTGTAACAGTGATGAGTGCAACGCGGGGCTGGTCTGTCTGTGCTGGTGTGGCGGAATCGACCATGATTCAAGTGTGGTAGTCTGCTAACCTGATCTTTACTTTATATCCTGCAGAGCAAGGAACCCCTGGAGCACCATCCCAACGCTGCCGTGTTCCCAATGCCCACTTACCCTTCGTGAGATCTCCTCGTCTTCTTCCCTCCTCCTACTCTCGTCTGTCGTCCGCACTTGTCTGAGCCATGTCAGCAGTTGCTGATGTGCACTGGGCGTTTGTGCATGGTGTTCGTGGTGGAGCTCCAGCCCATCGTCTGCAAGCTTGGTAGAACCCAGTTCGAATGTGAACCGGACCTCCCGAACACATTTGGTGACATTCAGTCCAGGGTTCGACCAAACAGCTAAATTGAACCTATGGTTCGGTTTGGCATTCGGAAAATTTGGCCCAAGAACCAGACTGAGCCGGACTTCGGCAGCACTACACCAGTGGCAAAATGTGATGACAAAACTTCAAGTTTTGTCTGCAGATGAAATGAATTGCCCGATCATCACCCGCCCATTGCCCGCTCATAACTCACTCGTCACCTGCTTACCACCCAAACTCAATACCTCATGTATAACATTTTTAGATATGCGAGAATTCAAATATTCACTGTTATTTTGTATCTTTGTATTGTATTGTATTGTATTGTATTGTATTGTATTGTATCGGTTGTCATATATTATTACTACGAGTGAATATTACCGCTATATCAACTAGGCACCATTCCCAGCAATGACCTTGCTTTTGGCACTCTGACACATCTTTGTCAACCGGTGGTGAATAGGAAATTGCCAGTATTTGTTCGAGTGGACAATTCACAAAATTAACAAGCAAGGTGATATTATATACACATTCAAATTATTTTAATGGCCATAAGCACTTGTATTATTTACAGATGACAAAATCAAAAGCCTTGTGGCCCTGTGGTATGATTATGATGGCGTTGAGTTGAGATCTGCAGGGCTCTGAGTTCAGTCCCGCACTTGGGCAATTTTTCCTGTTTTTCATTCATACCTACAGATGTACATATACAATGTATGTATGATGTCACAAGTGCGAAAACCATATATAATATATGATGGGAACATTGGGTTAACAATTCTGAATTTAGATATCAGGATTACAAAATTTGTGGTCTGGCATGTAGTTATCCATGATAATAACAGTGAATATTTGAATTCTTGCATATCTAAAAATGTTATACACGAGGTATCGAGTTTGGGTGGTAAGCAGGTGACAAGTGAGTTATGAGCAGGCAATGATCGGGCAATGAGCGGGCAATGAGCAGGCAATGGGCGGGTGATGATTGGGCGATTCATTTCGTCTGCAGACAAAACTTGAAGTTTTGTCATCACATTTTGCCACCGGTGTAAACTTCAAATTTTCAGGGTGTCTTAATTGTCAGACAAAACTTCCTAAATCAGCAGTCATATGGTCATGTCCCAAATTTCATGTTTTGTCTGCCGTTTAAGGTCTGAATTAAAATTTGAGCACACGCAGAAAATTGGATTAAATTGCTTATTATTATTAACATATAGTCGGTGGGAATATGGTTGCCAATGCTTGAAATTTTGTATGTCATCCAAAACATTACAAAAGTTTGAAGTTATGTCTCCATCTTTATGTCAGTTTAAATTTCAAATATTTTCTTCACATTTGCTACAACATAAAAACATCTCCTAGATATCGATAACCCCGATGTGACGTCCGAGTCGTTTGTCGGAAAAAAGTTCCCAGGGTTGTGTGTGAAAGTTCACGGGACCAAAATACGTAATACCAAACTTGTCATCTTCCACCCTCACCACCAAAATGCCCATCACATCCCCGACGCTCGTCCCCCGCCCTCCAACCATCCCTCGTCCTCCCACGCGCACCCCAAGTAAACCAAACCCCACTCCCAAAACTTGATCGTTACCCGGGCGCATGGACACCCGACGCGATCTCCAACGCGTAATCGGCGACCTCTCAGACGAGGAGAACGAACTTGAAGATTCCGTACTTGCGCGCTCCTCGAGCCATATTTCTTACTAACACTCTACACACACATTATGTTTATATCGACGCGTGACCGACCGGAATAGAACTTGGTGATGAGGAATCGCGGGTTTCAGTGGCTCGTTCCTATTGGGCGATTCAGGCAGATTGGTAATGCGGTACCTACATCGCTGGCTCTGGCTCTCGGGAAGGCTTTTGGGGTGGCGATGTTCAAAATGTGGGATGCAGAGCCTAGCAGAGATGCGAGCCCGATTCTATGATGACATTCATAGAAGGATTGAACATGTGTGTAGTTTCTCATCGCTGACGGCTGATTATACCTTGGTCATACCCGCATTGACATTCATAATACCTTCGGCGCCTGTGTGTTATGATTGATGTATAGTTGTTACATGGCGCACGTTGATTATATGGAAATGTCATGAGTGGAGTTGTCGAAATCAGGAAGTGCTTCCCGCGTCACATGAACGGACCCATACATACGTGGTTGCGAGACTATGTACGTAGCTGACTATGTTACACGGGTCAAACTCCAAGTCAAGTTGAAATTGTGATAATGATATGACGATTCGCCACCTGCCCCCTAGTGATTATTCTGTTCACTCAGCCTTGGGATAATCCTGCATCATACGCCTAAGCTCAACTTCTGGTACCCTCGGTTGGAATTCAATAGCGCATGGAACATTTGGCATGAAGGCCCCCGCGAACCCCATATCATCCTGCGGCTTCGTAGGATCCAGATTGAGCTGGAAAGCCCAAAGAATAAGAAGCGAATTTATGAACACCGATCTGTAACATTTCAAATCAGATTCGGGAAATTATATGCGTAGAAAGAACCGTAACCTGTTCGCAACGTGTTGACCTGGGCATACGCTGGAAGGAAGGACAATCAAAGAAAGTGCATCGCGCAAGGTGGTGCTCACCGCCGACCAAACCCAAATACAAAGAATGTGAGATCGTCTCTCAAACGACCTTGGTCGTCAATCCAGCGCTGGGGCTTGAATGCATTAGGCTCGGGATAGACTTCTGGATCCCGAGAGATGGCCCTGAGGTGATGTCAACTCGGTATGTCGTGCTTGAAGGACGTCGACTTACCAATGATTGCCGAATACTGTAGTTCCAGCAGGAATGCAATAGTTTTCCTGCCGGCGGATGTCAGATTGTCCTCGCAGAACAAATTATTTAAAGAGCACTTGCCCAAATTACATCTTCAGTAGTTCGGTGAGGAAATCCTGAGAGGCAAATTGTGTAAACTTCACGCGTATGACTGACTATTCAGAGACCTACCATCAGGAGCCAACGGTCTCCATCTCAGAGCCTCAGATATGAAGGCCTCCAGACGAGGAAGGGATGGTCTATCGTCGAAGGTCGGTGCTTTGAAGAAAAATGAATGATTTGATAGGACTGCGGTATATAGTCGAGTTACCTCGCTCCCCTCCGATGACTGCATCAAGCTCGGCCTGCACTTTAGCTTGCTCTTCAGGGAAGCGTGCAGCCGCCATCAGCACTATGCATATCGCCGTAGCGGTCTGACACCTTATCTCAGCGTCTGCAATCGTCAAAACAGAAAGACGCCTTACTGTTTCGGTCCCTGCTCCAAAGAAGCCGCCAGCAAGATAAGCCATCTCTATCTCTGTCAAACCATAGAGTTGTCCATTTTCTAGAATGTGTTTTGAAAACGAAGGGCCGCTATCCTCATTGCTTTGCTGTAGAACGACTCAGAGATCATGTGAAGATACGCAACACAATGCGTACCATGTGCAGTTTCACACGATTCAGCTGGTCTGTGTAGAGTCGCGTAGCCCTCTTGGACTCGTCTCTTAATTCTGGCGCATACCAAGGAAGGTATTTGAGCCACGGTATCGTGTCCACCCAGTAGGCACCGGGGCGCAGGAGTGTACGAAAGCGCGACATGAGCTGACGAACCTCTCTGACTTCGGGATCAGTTGCTGACGTCGGCGTGGTCTTCCCATATGCAACTTTCAAGATTGTCGCTGCAGCAAAGCTTTCGAGAGCTCGTAAGTAACATCCTACGAGACCCTGACATCACACGTAGGAATCCGAACCGCTTACGTTATTGCATGGTTCTGAAAGTTGCGTGGATCGTCAAGAATGTTGAGGATCATGTTTTTCGCTTGTGACATCTGCAGGGGCTGATACGTTTCGGCTGATTTGGGCTGAAGATGCGTATGGAGTGCTCTGCACCGCATTGAAAAGTAAGATGAGGGTTTGTTTGAGCTTTGACAATATTGTGATGACGAACCTACGCAGACGACGAAGCCTGTCCCCAATGTGTGAGAAACCGAGGCTCAATCCGCGTGTAAGAATTTCTCCAGCAGAAACGAGGCGAGGTCGATCAGCTAGTACTCTGCCCTGCTTCTCCATTATTTCCACTGCAGCCTGCCACGGAGTGTTGAGTTGGAAATGAAACTATGATAAAGGAACTGACTTTGTGGCGGCCGATAATCACGATGTTCTGCATTCCTGAGCGAATAGTGATCAGAGGGCCATACTCGTCGATCCACCGCGCTACAGTAAGGCATGGGCTGATCATAAACGTGATACAATTAGAATACAAAATGAGGTCACGGATATAAAACTTCACTAGCGAGGGGGCAGGAAGTGTCCCCGAAGTCTCCATGTGGGAGGAGAAGGAGGGAGAGGAAGGCGATTATCTGATTTACGAAGATAAGCCCAAACAATCGCACCTATTACCCCAACACAAGCTACACCATCGAGGGTGAGCTGCGTGTTATCAGAAATGCGCAGGTCAGAGAGCTGTAGCATGACCGAGTGGAGGAGTGGAGAGAGATAGGACCTCGTATATCGGAAAGGCGTTCGAGTTGTTTAAATAAGGTATCCGGCGCCAACCACACGGACATGAAGGCGAGTACTGTCATATCCTATTACACATAACGCCCCGCGCGCAGTTGGGGATAAAACGATGGGTTTAGAAGAACACCATAAACGAACATATGACGTGCGGAGACCGGACACAACTTGAATCTCCGCGACTGCGGTCAAGCAAACATTAGCCCTCATGAATCGCAATTAGGTTACTCATTTCGACTGGGTCAGTGAATCGGGTACGACGACGACGACGACGGCTGTGGTGGTAGGCATTCGCGAGTTTAGAGTTATGGTGCAACTTGTGCTGAATGTTGAAACCAAATCTTTTCAAAGGAAGTTGAGATCTTTGAGCCCTTGATCTTCTTAGGCTGTTAAGTTCTACACTAACAGGAATACATTCGCGGTCATGGATGTGTATGCCCGCTCCGGATTGATCATCTGGATTACGAGTAGTCTCCGTGAATAACTTGAACGTGTATGAGAATACCGATCCGTTGCACCTAGCGTAATGGTTTTTCTGTCCCGTGTGATTGCAACGTGCATCCGAGCTGACGGAATTGCCGAGGATACGGATAGAACGAGGCAGCTGATCATACCCTTATCATATTAGCTGCAGCCCGATGACACCTTTGCCAATTCAGCCAGCCTAACTTGTTTTCGAAAACGGGACGGACTTATGGATATACCCATGGAATGGAATGCAGCCGACAGATAGCACATAGGATGCCCTGGGACAAGTCACGATCACGAACATGGTTGCACTCACACTAGCTCAACGTGACTCGCCAGCAAGGATGTGAGAGCAAAGCACCTAGTTTGAATTTGAAAACTTTGAATCATTGAGCCTCGATAGCACATCACAGAAAAAAAATTAAAGTCTCCGAGGATCAGTAGCCAATTACGATGGCACGGACTGATGGACAGGTGGCAAGAGTTGTTTGATGGAGAAAGCCAAAACACCAACACATAAGCAAAAACCTTACAAAAACTTCTGACATACTGAAAGTGAGCTAGACGTCAAGGAAAAAGCATAGTTGTTAACCACGACGTTATACGAGTCGGACTTGATAACGATATGGATATGATGGTTCGTCCCCGGCCCGCTATTGGCGATCCGGCCTAGACGTCAAAGGTTCTCACCCAGCCTTAGGATAATTTGACATCATATGCCTGAGCTCAACTTCTGGAACCCTCGTCTGAAATTCAATAGCGCATGGACATTTGGCATGAACGCGCTCGTAAACCCCATATCATCCTGCGGCTTCGTAGGATCCAGATTGAGCTGGAAAGCCCAAAGAATAAGAAGCGAATTTATGAACACTGATCTGTAACATTTCAAATCAGATTCGGGAAATTATATGCGTAGAAAGAACCGTAACCTGTTCGCAACGTGTTGACCTGAGCATACGCTGGAAGAAAGGACCATCAAAGGAAGTGCATCCCGCAAGACGGTGCTTACCGCCGACCAAACCCAAATACAAAGAATGTGAGATAGTCTCTCAAACGACCTTGGTCGTCAATTCAGCGCTGGGGCTTGAATGCATCAGGCTCGGGATAAACTTCTGGATCTCGAGAGATGGCCCTGAGGCGGTGTCAATTCGATATGTCGTTCTTCACGACGTATCAGTGGTTGCCGGTTACTGTGGTTCCAGCGGGAATGCAATAGTTTTCCTGCCCGCGGATGTCAGATTATCCTCGCGCAACAAAGTATTTAGAGAGCACTTGCCCAAATTACATCTTCAGTAGTTCGGTGAGGCAATCCTGAGAGGCAAATTGCGTGAACTTCACGCGCAGGACCGACCATTCAGAGGCCTAGCCTCAGGAACCGACGGTCTCCATCTTAGAGCCTCAGATATGAAGGCCTCCAGACGAGGAAGGGATGGTCTATCGGCGAAGGTCGGTGCTTTGGAGAAACATCAATAATCATTTGATAGGACTGCGGTATATAGTCCAGTTACCTCGCTGCCTTCCGATGTGACTGCATCAAGCTCGGCCCGTACTTTAGCTTGCTCTTCAGGGAAGCATGCAGCCGCCATCAGCACTAACCTCATATATCGGAAAGGCGTTCAAGTTGTTTAAATAAGGCGTCCGGCGCCACCACACGGACAGGAAGAGGCGAGTACTGTCATATCCTATTACACATTACTCCCGTACACAGTTGGGGATAAAACGATGGGTTTAGAAGAACACCATAAACGAACACGCGATGTGCGGAAACCGGACAGGACCTTGTCGAAACTGCGGTCAGGCGAGTATTAGCACTCGTGAATTACAATCAGATTGCTCATTTATGGCCATGTGCACCGGCCATGAGTGTTGGATGCTGGGTCAGTGAATCGAGTACGACGACGACGGTTGTGGTGGTAGGCACTGGAGAGTTTGGAGGTATGGTGCGAGTCTCGACATGCGACCTTTTAGGAAATGGAAATCTTGATTCTTTGAGCCCTTGAACTTTTTAGGCTGTAAAATTATACTCCAGCAGAAACATATTTGCGGCCATGAATGCGTATGAGGCACTCCACGTTGATAATCTGGATGACGAGTCGTCTACGTGAATTACGAGAATGCCGGTTTGTTGCACCTAGTGACTAGGATGGTACCGTTGGGTATAGGATGCATGGGCCAGCTAGCTTGTTTTTCGAAAGCAGAGGATAAATTTCAAGGCAAACATATAGTACGATACCAATTGTCATGGCATCCGAGTCTTGACTCTTGATGATGGCTACTAGCAAGCCACACCAAATGCTGAGAAGGCAGATACCGTACCCACCTATCATAAAGATGGAGGGTCGATAGAAGGGTCTTGGTAGCACGTCAGGGATGGGAGGAAGACGCCCACTACGGATCACTTGAATCATTCGATCATCGGATAAGTCTAGGTGAGCAAGAACAAGTTCCAAATGCCGAAAGTTCTCGGGACAAAACACGTAATACCAAACTTGTCATCTTCCACCATCACCACCAAATGCCCATCACATCCCCAACGCTCGTCCCCCGCCCTCCAACCATCCCCCTCGTCCTCCCACGCGCACCCCAAGTAAACCCAACCCCACTCCCAAAACTCGATCGTTACCCCGGGCGCATGGACACCCGACGCGATCTTCAACGCGAAATCGACGACCTCTCAGACGAGGAGAACGAACTAGAAGATTCCGTACGTGCACGCTCCTCGAGCCACATTCCTTACTAACACTCTACACACACATTATGTTTATATCGACGCGTGACCGACCGGAATAGAACTTGGTGATAAGGAATCGCGGGTTTCAGTGGCTCGTTCCGATTGGGCGGCATACGACGCAGTTGGAGGAGAAGAATGAGGTGCGTGGGTTTTGCTTAGGTTTTTTTGTACTTTGTTTGAGTTTGCCGTTCTTATAGGCAGAGGACGATTCTGATGGTTCTGATACGGGCCAATCAGGCGGCGGCCCTTCGATTAACGAGGACGGCGAGGAGAATGACGATTCGGGAGCTGATCTGGATGCAAGCATGGAAGATATGGATGAGGAGGGTGAGACGGGGACAGCGAGTGAAGCGGAGGATCTGAATGATATGACGGATGATTTTGAAGAGAGGTCGAGCGATGCTTGATACACCACACACGGGGACGATGATCAGTCAAGGCAGGGCAGAGAAAAGCCCAATGAAAAAATTATACGCGGTATCGATAATCTTGGTACGTGTGAATGCGAGATCTACGTTTACAGCTATACATAATCCACAAATAACTTAGATCCTTGCCACTCATCTCGGCGCCGAAGTCGAACCATCGCGAAGTCGTCACCAGGAAGTTCAACCACCGCAGACTAAGATCGACCCACTACGAACCCACTTCAAGGGACTACTGCTCCCCGAAAATCTGTTACAGACAACGTCCCACGCGGATGCCTTCTCCTAGGGCTAGCATTAGCCATGACAAGCGGCCGTACCCATACTCGGACGTGGCCCGCTTTTGACGCTGTTATGAGTGCGCGAGGGAGGAAAGCGAGGGACGTGAGGAGGTCGGAGTCGAGTTGTTTTACCTATAAGTTAATCAGTCGCATTCACAATGGAAAACCCAGTGGAGAAACGGAAGAGGGAAGGCAAACTGACCAATACGGGCTGCACAGTCGACACTTCATTCCTCGAAGGCGCAGGGTGATACCGCGGTGCAGATAGTTGAATCGTCGACCCCGTTCCGCGTCGGTGAGCGAGCGAAATACTAGATGACATTGATGTGCGCGTATGGTGTGCTCCGAGGAATTTGGGGCGATGAAGAGCGCCAGAGGAAAAGTCCCACTGTCAGATTAGCTGAGTAATCGGTCATTTATAAGTGCAAGAAACTAGCGCACGAGAATGAGCTTGTTGTCCTCTCCTACGCTACCAAAGCGGTATGTCCGCCCATCGCAGCGGAGTTCGTCGAAAGCGACGGCTGAGACGAATGATGAGTGTCCTTGACATCGTGCGACGACTCGTTGTTCCCAAGGGGAGAAAATGGTGAGGAGGTCGTCTTGGCCGCCGGTCTAGTTGAGAGTAGACAATCAAAGATGTTCATTGGGTTGTAGACTTGGAAACGCACGAGAATGAAACGCCCGTCAGGAGACCATGCGACGCAGGTTAGAGAGCCGAAATAGGATGCGTAGCAGTCTACCAGCCTAAACTAAATATTAAAATCTGTTCAGCGATCGGAGGAGACGACATACTGCTCTGCAAGTGGATCGATCACCCTCAGACACCCATCCTCTGAAATGGCGGCTACATATTTATTATCAGGGGAGAATACAAAGTCTAGCCAAGATGAGCTCCCAACGCAAGTATTAAAAAGGCTTGACTGACCAACGACACTGCGGCGACACAGACGCCAATGGCTTACTGGGTTCTTCGCGGCCACACCCTTCTCTCCCCTCCCGATTGCTTCTGGATGCCACGGCGGAGGAGTGACAAATATCGTTGATAGGGGG